TATATTCTGAGGCCACCCCAACATTTGTCCCACATGTGCTCATGGGGTGACTACCTTCATGAGTTTTCAAAGACTACACGTGATGGCTTCTATGGAACTCACCATGTTTTCTCCGTCTACCATCATCTAGCTGTCACCAAAATCTCCATCATGCTATCTATGAATGCCAGTCAGAGCAGGGACCAGGGGGCCAAGGCACAACACTTAAGGAGGTCCTCACTTTCAGGGACATGCAAGTGTCCTGCTGCCAACATCTGCTCAAAGGTGGTAAATACCTGAGTCAAGGGTACCGAGATCTGTGTGAAGAGCAAGTCTCCTGTGACTGACGAAATCAGGAATTCCAAGTGTTCTTAATCTCTCAGCTCAGTTTTAACTCCCTCCTTCATTGTCTCCCCAGTGCTCTAAAACTAAAGGTAAGTCAGGGGGAACCGGGCTGGAGAACAACTTCATCATCAGACACTGCTTTAGTGAGAGCGCTCCCTCTCCCCCAACACAGGCTGTCCAAGCAGGATCCTTGGTCCTCCATGTAAACAGACTTCTCCCGCCCAGATATGGCTTCTTGAAACACACTTGCATATTCACCTTGGATTCTGGGTGAATAAGGTGCGGGTTCAAGATGAAACAGCACATCATTACCACTATTTGGAAAACAGTTTCACTAGATACAGTATCCCATCTCATGTGGCCTTAAAAGCTGTTGATAAGTAGGATATCTAGTCCATAACAGAGTTTGACCCAACTGACAAGATTGTACAAATCACACAGAATGGATTGCAAAGATATGATGACTCACTGTAACTACAAAGTTACTCGAGAGAGAAATGATTCTCCTTCTTTCAAAGAGTCTCTGCAAACACAACTCAAAGTGCTTGCCTTCTTCGTGCTCAGTTAGTTCATCTTTCAAATGTTTGATTCTGGAAACTCTCTTAGCTTTTCTTACTTTGCTTCCATCAGGGCAAGACTTGCCTGGAGGTATCAGGACTCCTTTCCCAGAACAAGTAAGAGGCCCCGCACAGATCAAGGAGGTATAGAAAAGGGAGCTGACACTCCTTACAACAAGGCTTCAGGATCTGAGTAGTAAGTGTTGCTCCATCCAGCTTTGACTTTACCCCGGATTCTTACTTGGTCCCCGTTGGATGCTTTCCTGAACATGACCATCCAAACCCAGGACATGCTAATTTAGGTTCTCATTATCTCTTGCCTATATGATACTGCCTCCAGTTTGTCTCCTGCTGATGTCACCAACATTATGGTCAGACCACCTCCCTTTCTGAAAAGCATGAAATGATTCCCTAGTGCAGAGGTAGACAAGCTATAGCCTGTGGATAAAAGCCAGCTGCCTGTTTTTGTACAGTTTGTTAATTAAGCATGGTTTATTAACAAGTGAACATCGATAATGCATTTGTTTATACGGCATGCTAACTTTGAACATCGATTAAGTAAAATGTGTCCCCCCAAAGAAGTTCATATGGTAGGCCTATATGACAACAAAGTAATTATTATTGTTGTTATATTTTGAATTTCATTATGGAAATTTGTTTTCTCTCTCGTTGTGTAAGTTCTTACATAATATCTGTGATTTTGCCTCTTAACTTGCAAAGTCTAACATATTTGCTATCCAGGTTGTTACAGAAAAGCTGCTGACCTGCACCTTAAGCACATTATTCAGAGTAATTCAGATCCTCTCGCCTGAGGCTCAAGAACCTGCATGACCTTTCCTCAGCCTCTGTACAGTCTCACCCTTGACCCCAACCTGTACTTCCATTGACCTATTCATTGTTCTACATTTTCCTGTCCGCTTTCTTTGTGCTGTTCTCTTTCCCTGGGATGTCCTACCCCTTCCATCTCTTGATATTAAAGCCATCCCTTTTCTACGAGGTCTTCCAAGATTTTCACTGTCTGATTTTCAATATCTTTTAGTAACCCTATAATGAAAAATAATATGAAAATGAATATGTGTATGTTCATGTATGATGGAACTATTATGCTGTACACAAGAAACTGACACTGTGAACTGACTATATTTCAATAAAAAATTATTAAAAAATAGATATACACGTGTGTATATGTAATCTATATTTATTATGTTTGATCTCAAAACTGGATTAATCCACTGCTGACTTGTTGAGAATTAATTCAATCATACAGAACTGGCCATAGGTAGGCAGTATATGGGATTAATAGGAAAATACCTTAAAGGTAGAATTTGTTCTCCTAGTCATCATGGAATAATAGAACATCATGGAATTTTACCCACCTTAAAACTGGGTAAAATATATAAAATGAGGTATTTTCAGACATTGGGCAAAAGGCAGCAGAGGACAAATGAATTGAAAGTCTGTGTGTAACCCAGCTCCCAGGCCACAATGCAGGGAGGAGGACGCAGGTGGAGTGTGATGGTCTCACTGGGTTGGGGAGCCAGAGCTGAGAGCTTGAGGAGGACCAAACAGCTACAATTTATGGGATGAAGCCTCAGGGAAGAAAGCTGCTCAGAGAGGGAGCTGCTGCTCTGAGATTTGCAGGGAAGCCCTCTTGAGTTTTAGGTTGAGTGTGAGGAAACTACAGAGGCTGAGGAAAGAGGCACAGGAAAGGGGCAGGAGGAAGAGTCCCTAGAAGATAATGGGCACAGTGGCCAAGAGTAGTTCACGTTCCCACCAGAACTGGGTAAAGTCCCCCGAAGGGCACCGTCTCAGTCGTGAGGCAAATGAGCCCCAGACTCAAAGCAGATCAACCGGCATCTGAAGCTGGGGGTGGAAGAGGGAGCCTGACTGCAAACGGGCACACGAGTATGTCTTTCGGAGCGACTGGAAATGTTCTAAAACTGGACTGTGGTGGAGGTTGTACGACTGTACATGCATTTACTAAAAGTCATTCAAATGTGCAGGTTCAATGGGTGTATTTTATCACATATACATTTTATCTCAATAAAGCTGTTTACAAACAATCAAAAGAAAAAACCCCCACACTTTTAGACACCCTGCTAGCACTGAAGTCGTCCTCAAGTATCTTTTATAATTTGTGCTATGATTTGGGTCTGTGAGTGTGTCTCTTACATTTGACTGTTAAGTTCATCAAAAGTAAGGACTACATTTTACACATTTTTGTAATTTCAGCAGTGGTCAGCTGGGTTCCTGAACATAAAAAATGTTCAATAAAAATTTGTTGAGAGTTTTATGACATATGTCTTTTTTTTTTGAAGTTTTTAAAATTTTTAATATTATAAATTTAAATCTATTTATTAAGGTATAACATAAATACTGAAAAATGCATGATCCATAAATGCCAAGCTCAAAGAATTTTTACAAAATGAATACGCATGTAACCCCCCCTCAAGACAAGGAGAATGTGACCAGCTTCCCAGAACTCCTCAAGCAACCTTCCATTCACTCTACCTACCGTGCTTCTCAACGATCATTTCTGTCCTGCCTTCTAACATCATCAGTTACTGCTTGCTGTCCTTTATATAACTGAAATAATTCACTTTCATCTTTGTGTTTAGTGTTTGTTTGTTGTGGTGTGTAGCTGTCGTTTGTTCATTTTCACTTCTGTAAAAATTCCATTGTAAGGATATACTATCATTTATTCTATTGTTGATAGGCATTTTCTGTTTTTAGTTTTGGACTGTTACAAATGGCTACTACAAACAGTCTTGTACATGACTTTTTTGCACTTGGGCCCACATTTCTGTTGACTGAATATCTAGGAATAGAATTGCTTTATCATAATATATTTGTACATTCAACTTTATCAAATAGTTTCCCAAAGTGATTGCATCAATTTACATACACACCAACAGCATTTGAGCACTCTCTTTGCTCTACACATCCTTACTGACACATTATTCTAGCCATTGAAGGGATATGCATATCTCATAAAGTTTTATATAATGAGGTGGATCACCTTATCATATGTTTATTGGCCATTTCTATACACTGTTTTCTAAATGCCTATTCAAGTCTCTTGCCATTTTTCTATTGGGTGGTTGGTCTTTGTTTACAGCATTAGTTTGGAGAAGTTCTTTGTGCGTTCCGGTTTTGAGTTCTTTGTTTTTTGTTTTTTGTTTTTAAAGTTTTTATTGAAGTATAGTTCATTTATAATGTTGTATTATTTTCAGGTATATAGCAAAGTGATTCAGTTATATATATACATATTCTTTTGCAGATTCTTTTCCATTATAGGTTATTATAAGATATTGAACATAGTTCCCTGTGCTATACAATAGCTCCTTGTGGTTTGTCTGTATGACATATGTCTTGCTTCCTGGATTTTTACCTTTGGCTCTTCCTCGCTGGCCCAACTTTATTATATCTTATATTTTACCACCACAAATACTGGAAATATAAAGTGTATTATTATTGTTTTCCCTTGAATACATTTTTTAAACATTGTTCTGGTATAAACGCCTGTTAGAGGTCATAGGGCAGCAGGGTCTGAAGAGGTAGACAAACTGAGCAAGAGACAAGGACTAATTTGTATTTCTTATTGCATCCAAAGTAATTTTTGCTGTGCAAAAAAGGGGAGGAGGAAAGAGAATGGTGGTATTCTAAAACTTACAGCCGTATTTACTCTAACTATTCCCTCCCCTTTTCCATAGAATATTTTCACTCTAAAGGGAGAAAAAAAGTCAGGGGACCTATTCAACATCTGATTTATGGCATGGAAAAGAAAAAAATTAAATTATTTCCAGAAACCAGAAAGTCGACAAAAGGACACACCTTGTCCCAATCAGATATCAAAACAAACATAAACTCATAAAAGCCACTTCAAATATAGTACAGCTCTAAACCACAATTCTTGCATAAAAAAAATTAAACCAAGAAAATACAACTGTTCTAAGTAAACTAAGTCAAAAATAGGGCATAATTGTGGGCAAAAGTCCTTTGAAACTAATGGAATTAGTTCTGCCATGAAAAACAAACAAACCTTGTCCTGAAGTTGTAAACAGATGCAGTTTCTATGCTAACACTGTTTAAAATTTATACAGAATGCCGGTCACCTACCTTGATTATCATAGTCATAAATTCTTTGACAGTCATCTTTCTCTTTCGTTTTAACTTGGAACAACTGCTGATACATCACTCTTCCGCATTTCCTTCCCCCATCCAAGGATAAACAAACTCACCTTATTAAAAAAAAAAAGAATTATGAATGTTAAGAATGTTGTCACCTAGTACAAGCTTCTGCAGAGCAAAGGAAACCAGAAATAAAACAAGAAGAAAACCTACAGAATGGGAGAAAATTTTTGCAAGTGAAACCGACAAAGGCTTGATCTCCAAAATATATAAGCAGCTCATACGACTCAATAAGAAAAAAATAAACAACCCAATCCAAAAATGGGCAGAAGACCTAAAC